GTCTAGGCCGGAAACGTCAGCCTTCCTGCTCCTCTGATGCTGCTTGGCCTGCTGTGTTCATCCAGCTCTACACCTTGTTATCTCAGATTCTCCAGCATCGGCAGTTCCTACTATCTCTGAAGGAATTCATATTTTGTGAGGTTCACTTGGCTGACCTCATTACAATCAGTACAGAGGGCAGGAAGCGTTTGGGAGGATGTGGTGAATGAGATATGTTGAATGGACATGTCATCTGCAACAGTGAGAGTTTCAGTATACGTGTTTTGGTGAGAGGTGTGCCAAAGTTACAGTGAGTAATGTTAGCTCTGCGAGTGTGAAGGAGCAGAGAGAACATGGTGGCACTCTCACTCTGGTGGGGCACAGAAGATCATTCACTTTCTTCCTGCCCTGATTGCATTTTAACTGGGTCACAACAATGACCCAGTCTGCTATTTAATTTCAGGCTGGGTCTGGTGGTGTGACCTCCTTTGCCAGTCAGCTGGATATAGCAGTGCCCTCCACTACATTAACCCATATACCATCATCTCCAGGTCCCTTTGGTGAAAGGAGGAAGTAACTTGCCTTTCTGGGTGATAGCCTCAGTGAAAATAGTTACGTACCACGGTATGAAGGGCAGTTCCTAGCTTGCAGCATCTTATATGATATTTTTCTTGAAGGTCAAATTGAAGTGACATGAACCAACTCTCAGCAAAAGCAAATGATATACCAACACAGTTGCAAAGTATCTGTTGGGACTGGATTGGAGATTAAAGTGGTTGACATATCCAAAGAAAATTAAATGCTTCTTAAAACATAAAGGGTGTGAAATTGGTTTGTAAGGTAGCATGAACATTGCCAAGTGAATCTACAGCCCGTTTTGAACTCAACAAGACAAAGAATTGTGATTTACTATTTTTGCTCATTTTTTTTCTCCTGCTGAGGACCAGTTTCAGTCTCCTTGGGTTCCTCTGTGTCTAGAACAGATAGCAAGCAGGCAGAGATTAGTGAATGGAGATGTGGTCTGATAAATATCAAGGGACATTTTTTCTGAACTGACACTGAAGTGCGGGCGGTACAGGCAGGACACAAAAGGAACTTCATGGGTCAAATAACCATTTCTTACTCTGTTGTTTGAGGAATCCAGGGATGGAATTGGTCTTGCACCATAGCAGAAAATGACCCAAAAACAGAAATTGCTGGAGAAGCTCAGCACCTGTGGAGAGAAAGCAGAGTTAACATTTTGAGTCCAATGACCCTTCTTCAGAACTTTGTCAGAAAATGGCAGCCTGTCTTGCATTTTTCCTGATTTTCATTGCAATCAAAGGAATAAAAATTCGGGTAAAAGGGATACTGCCACCCAGTTTGTACTCATACCCAAATATATCTCATGTACTTTTAGTGTTTGGCATTATGTAATGTGTATTGTTATCAATCCCTCACTCCATGAAGTACAGTCACCTCAGAGAGCTACTTAAAATGAACAGTGTGCAATGACACTATGCTTCGTTACTGATGCAGGAGGATACGAGCGATTTTCTTCTGAGTATCCGGAGTTTTGTGTTAAAGCGAAAAGTCCATCTGGAATCTTGTCACCATCCAACATTGAGACACCAGGAACAAGTTTAAGTGCCTGTGGGACTCCCCTCCATGACCAGGTAGAATCAGCTTCTCTGTACCCATTGTCTTTCACTTCATTGTTCTCTTTTGGCAGTGATAACATGGGGTGGGACCCATATAATTTCTGATTTGCTGTGAATGTTCCTATCTTTTGACTAGCTCATTAATAACTTGAAAACAGAGATTGCTGGAAATGTTCAGGTCAAGCAGTGTCTATAGAGAGAGAGAGAGGGAGACAATGTTGATGTTTGAAATATTAGATTTCCAGCATCCCGAATATTTTGCTTTTCTATCAATAGTCTGTCCTTATTTGCAGGTTGTGGTTACTCACAAATGTTTTAATAGTGATGGCTCTGTTGCAAAGTTGGGTGGAGTACTTGTGGACTGGAAGGCAGGATGTCAGAATATTTTTGTAGAATGATAGTGGGGAGGAGTGCATCGTCCCTTTAAAAGATGATGTGTTTTTCTAGGCTTGGAGATTTTAAAAAAATGTCTGCAGATGCACAGAGAGTTCTCAAAATTGAAACGTTTTTATCAAAGGCTGAATGGTTAGAAAAAAAAGCGGTTATCTTGTTTTGTTAGCAAGGCAACCAGTTTGAATGTCAACCAATTAATTTAAACCAGGCACTTACAGACCAAAAACCTATTAAATTTTGACAACCTAGGACCAATCCAATTGTATGAAATTGATAGGTCATCAAGGGTATAGAAGAAGATGGTATTTGAAAATTGGTGTGAAGGCAAACCGCCAACAGAAGAGAAACTCACTGGCTCTCACAGAAATCTCAAAGCTTGCAGAGTAAGCACCATCCAAATAAAGGTACTACGGCACTCTTAGCTAATATTCCTGACAAAAGAATTTGACAGAGAAAGGCCTTTCTGAGTGGAGGACAGCAGAGAAGGCGAAGAACATTCCGGAAGACATATCCTGACTATACTTTTGAGAGATAACAAGGCGTAGAGCTGGATGAACACAGCAGGCCAAGCAGCATCAGAGGAGCAGGAAAGCTGACATTTCGGGCCCAGACCCTGAAGGTGTGGGGGGGGGTCTACTTACAGTGGGGCCTACCGCTGAGCTTGGATTGTAAGAGGTGATTGGTTGGCACCTCTCAAGCGTAGGGCATCCTCGTCCTGTCTGCCTCTCTGCTCATTTAGCCCCACTGTTAGCGGGGGGCATCTCCTAACACTGTTGGTCAGTATCTGACTTATCCAAATTGGCTATGAAACCCAGACCCAGAGAGAATCACCACCCCCCAAACCCCCCCCTGCTCTTTTCCTGATAGTGCCATGAGGACTTTCATACCAAACTGAGAGAGGATAGAACCAACTTTGGTTCGGCATCTGAGACAACAAGGTGCAGAGCTGGATGAACACAGCAGGCCAAGCAGCATCATAGGAGCAGAAAGGCTGATGTTTCGGGCATCTCATCACCAAGAACAGGGCAGCAATTTTTTTATTGATTGTCAGTGTAGACCATATGCTAATAGCGTGTGACTTAGACGCACAGCCCCTTATGACTCAGAGCTGAGAGTGCTGCTATCGAACCAAAGCTGATGCCTGAGTCATCGACCTGGGAGCGGGTGGGGGATGGTTAACAGTGACGGTTTTAACCTAGGTGTAAATGCATTCCACTCCACTGAGTACACAAGATAGCTAAAGCTGTCCTTCTTTACCAGTTTTGAAATGCATGCTTTAGAAATAGGAACATGTAAATGTGAAAAGACATTTTTTGCTGAATGATAATGCCTTGGACTCTCTCAATCCTTTATAGTGGTGGTCTTGGCATAGTAAGTGTTTATATTTGTTCCTTTAGTTTTTGAATTAAACACTGAGAAGCCAATATGATGTGGAGAATGCAGAAGTAGCCAGCTGGAAACCAGAAGGTGTTGAACAGATTCATGTCTCAGGGAATGTGACCAGAATTTTCAATCAGCATAATGCAGCATAACAGCTATCACCAGGGTGTACAGGAAGATGATTTTACCAGAGTTCCTTATAGTTTATTGCTGTTACTTTTAACGCTTTTCCCTCAAACCTTCTGACAAACTGTAAGGTGCCAACTGGGTCTGGAGAGACAATGTTTCCAAGGCTGATGGTGTCAGATTGCCTGATGTCATAAAGTAATGATATAATACTTTTCTCATGGAATACTGACATCAATGCACGGCTGTTGTACAGTTGCCACTATATTTCAGCATGCATCTGGCAGCGTAAAAGAACATGGTGAAGGCAGATTTTAAAATCTGAAAGGCAGTCACACTGTCACCATCTCCCATTTGCCATTTGCCTGCAGGATGTAGAGAAGCCAAGCAGTCCACATTCAGTCTGTACATATCCCGCAGCAAAAGTGTGAGGCTGATTGGTTAGCATTGAAAGGTTTCACAGCAATTCCTAGCCACCAACTTGCCAACTCTTATCAAATATAAAGCTGTGAACTAGGTACATCAAGCCGGATGTGATCAATAATGCAAAAGTTCTTAAACTTTTCTTTAAAGTGTCCAGCAGTTTTCAGCTTTATGTTATACTATAGAGGATTTGGTTCTTTGATGCGATCTTGCCGGCCTCTGTACGATCCGATTTCATTGAGCTCCTGGACGATCGAGTTAGCAAACTGAGGTGAAGGAACACCAGACAGAGACTCAAGAATGAGGCAAAGCCATTCCCAAACACACAGAAGTATGGGTAAAGGAACTGAACAGGTTTTCAAAGAGTCTGTTGGGTTCAGGAATGAAGAGAATACAAGAACGTAAGAAGAAAAATAGGCCGTTCAGCCCCAAGAGCATGTTTCACCAATCAGTTAGATTCTGGCTAATTTGCGGTTTAATTCCATTGATCCAGCTTTGCCTCATACTTTTACTAGCCTTATCCAACAAAAATCCGTCAATCTCAACCTTGAAAGTTTCAATGGATTCAGCAACCAATGTTTTGAGGAATGAGAACTCAAGACAAGACGCTTTTAAAAATTGTCCAAGCTGATTGGACCTTACATTGGGTCCGAAGAACATTTGATAGAGAGGCATCTCAAACTGAAAACATACTGCTCATCGTCTCGTAACCTAGGCCTGTGTGAGACTCAGGGATTATGAAGTCAGGTCAACCTGGATCTTTCTTTACTAGATGTAAAACCACTGCCGTCTATTCTTTAATGTTCTGTGGCGATGTGTCAGTGTTTCTGTTGTGACATGATATAGTTACACTCCAGGGTCCAATTGCATTGTGAGCCTTGCTTGTTAGCTGTACGTAACAAGGAATTAAGGCCCACCGAGGAAAGTGAACTATGTAGATCATGTTTGTCACCATTATGAAAATGACTTATTTAAACTGATTTGTGTATTTAAATCTAGGGTGGCCCAGTGGAAATTCTTCCTTTTCTGTACCTTGGAAGTGCGTATCATGCATCTAAAAAGGACACACTCGATGCTATGGGGATTACAGCTCTCTTGAATGTCTCCTCTAATTGTCCAAACCATTTTGAGGATCATTATCAATATAAATGCATTCCAGTGGAGGACAATCAGAAAACAGACATCAGTTTCTGGTTCATGGAAGCAATAGAGTACATCGGTAAGATACAGGTTTCTAACTTGATATTCCTCAATGTTTACTGCTTGGTAACTCATTTGCTTTTACTCAATAGCTAGTGTTTACACTAAATAAAAACCTCCTGATGCTGTAAATCAGAAACGAAAACAGAAATTGCTGGAAAAGCTCAGCAGGTCTGAGGAAGGATTACTTGCCTGAAACATTAACTCTGATGTATTTCCTCAGCAACTGGCAGGACTGCTGAGTTTTTCTAGCAATTTCTGGTTTTGTTCCAGTCAGTGTTTACATGTCAGGGGATTGTTTCTGGACTAGTTTTTCATCCCAAAATAAAAAGAATAAATATCCCTGAAGCAGACCTTTGGCACAAGAACTGGGTCCATCTGGAAAACTGAATGAAAATTAAATGGCATTCTCACTCCTCCACTTCCGAATTGTGAACAAACCCTCTCAGTATATGAACTGCAGAGAACAAGCACTAATTTATAAAAAGCATTGACCGTGGCTCAATCTTGTATAGAGTTCCAGAGCTGGAAGACTTCCTGTCTTTAATGTTTCATTTACGTTTCAAAACATGACTGTAGTGGGTCTAAAATCATAAGGAATACAGAACATGTTAATTGTGGACTAACTGATGTGGTTCTTACTGGTGCCGTTCTCATCACAACATTGTGCTAGGTCTTGGTTCCACTGCCTTGGCTGGAAGGTTAAGAGACTGAGGCACCCTCAGAATTGAGGCGTTTGTGTGTTTTGAACCAGTATCATATTCCATTGATCATCTGTGTTATTGGCCACTATCATCATTCTATAATGTATTCCAATCTTCGAGAATGTAGTTGTTAAGAAACAATGAATGTGAACAGCATCACAAGGGGGCTAGGAATGAATGGGCTCAACCTACTGCATAAAGTGCTCTTTGTTGAGCAGCTGTGGCAGAGAAGATTGTAAGGATTCCAAGACCCTGGCTTCATTTAGCTCAGGCAGGAAAGCTACTGCTTGCAAAACATGATTGAGGCATCATGATTGGTCTGGGTCAGTCACTGGGAACCAGGCCCGGAGAGAGATCCCAGACATGAAAGGCAGCAGCCCAGATCAATTCTATGTGCCCTGTGGGAGAAGAATTCAATACTTAGCTTCCCACCATCCACATCTCCCCCTCCCCCACCAAAATATACATTATTCACAACAATTGCAAACAAAGACTTGAACATTGCAGCACTTGCAAGAAAATTCAACTTGCATGATTGTCATCATCATATTTCACAAATACAACCCTCATCAAGTATGCAGCCCAAAGACAAGAAGCTGCAAATTACAAATAGTGCAAGCAATATAAAGTTCTTTATACAACATGCTTCACTCTGAATGTCTCGTAACAAGCACCAGGTCACGGTTTGGCTGGTGGTGAGTTTGGCCCTTTCTATCACATCCTTCCTATGCACCCGGAGTCCCAACAACCCACCTCACCCGCACATCATGGTGGGGAAGCGAATGTTGTCCATCTCCTTCTGAAACTTATGTACCTCAGCAAAGAAGAGCTGGAGAGAAATGCAGTGGTTCTTTTTGCTGGGCTTCATCCTGAGTAGCTCCGTGACACTGGACTCAGTGCTCTATGGATAATTCCTGGGAACACACACCGATGCAAACATCAATGGTGCCTGAGGGATTAATCTCTCAGAGAAAGACGCACTTTGATCTGCTGAAGTCTGCTGGTCTTCCAGTGCAGGAATTCTCCTGGACCAAACGTTGCAGACTGCCACATTCCGAGGCTTGGGACTACATGTCGAGAGACTAAGTCAAACTTTGGGTGGATGTTGTAGAGGCACAATGGGGAAAGCTTGGTGTCAAAGTCCTTTCAGCCAGAGAGTCATAGAGGTATCCAGCATGGAAGCAGGCCCTTCGGCCCAACTCATCCGTGCTGACCACGTTTCCTAAACTGACAATTATAACTAATGCCAGCATTTATATAATTACATTTGGAAAATGTAAGATCAGTGAAAGATTATATTTGTGATTTATTGGTACAAGAGCTCCAATTCCAAATGCAGGCAAATGGGACTAGTTGAGTTTGGGATACCTGATCAACATGGATGAATTGGGCCAAAGGGCCTGTTTCTGTGCTGTATGACCATGACTCTATAACTAGTCCTATTTGCCTGCATTTGCACCGTATCCCTCTAAACCTTTCCCATCTATGTATGATACACCTTAAGGCTAGAAACTTCAGGCTGTCTACCTCAAAGAATGTATATTGTAAATTAAGAATATCAGAAAAAAGACACATTTTTAGTCACATGGCCGAGGTGCTTTGGATACTTTTGAAAAGGAGCCTGCCCATATTATTGGTTTTAATAGGAGAGGCGATGGCCCAGTGGTAATATCGCTAAACTATTATTCCAGAAACTCAGCTGATGATCTGGGGACCTGGGTTTGAATCCTGTCATGGCAGATGGTGGAATTAAGAATCTACTGATGACCATGAATCCATTGTCGATTGTAGGAAATACCCATCACGTTCACTAATGTCCTTCGGGGAAGGAAATCTGCCATCCTTACCTGGTCTGGACTACGTGTGACTCCAGACCCACAACAATGTGGTTGACTCTCAACCGCCCCCTGAAATGGCCTAGCAAGCCACTCAGTTCAAGGGCAAGTAGGAATGGGCAGTAAATGCTGCCAATCAGCAACACCTACATCCCATGAGTGAATGAAAAAAAAGGGGGTAAAGTTGCTAGCTCCATTTTTGAAGCCGTTACCACCAGACATAAGCATTTTAAATTGACTCCAGCGAAACTTGCTCTGTGACCAAGCTGAAATGATGGTGCCGCCAGCGGCCTTAGCATCTGGAGGTGTACCTGCCAGTGGTTGGTCATTTAAAAGCAGGGAGGCCCTGTTTGGAGGAACACAGAGACCTCAGTCAGTTGTAAAGCTAGAGAAGGTTACAGAGATGGCTGTTCTGAAGCTAAGGAGGTGTTTAAAAACAAGGGTAAGAATTTTAAGGTTGAGCCATTGCCAGACTGGGAGTCAACATTGGTCAGTGAGGACTAAATGGGACTTAGGATAACAGGAACAGAGTTTTAGATAATCTCAAATTTGTAGATGATGCTGGGTGGGAAATTGGCCAGGAATGTTTGGCATAGTTGAGTCGAGATGTAACAAAGGCATAGATGAGAGTTTCAGTAGCAGATACGTTGAGGCAGTGATGGAAATAGAAAATCTCCATTGATGGACAACATTTGGGCTCTGCCAATATGATGCTAGGATTGTGTATAACATCAGACAATGGCCAGGGAGGGTGATGGAGTCAGTGAATTGAGTAGAGGAGAATGCTTTTGGAGAGGTCAAAAACAATGGCTTTAGTCTTTGCAGGATTGTGGTGTGAACTGAATTGAATCCAAACAGCTACTGACTGAACTGGCAATGTTTCGGATCAGCACTTTCATATATTCCAGCTGGGTTTTCAATTTGGCTTTTCATATCCATCCTGTATCTTTCATGTTGCAATATCTCATCAATAAACTAAACCATTCACCTATGTCCTATTCCTCTCAGAGGAACCATTTATTGATCAATTTTCTTTTTAAAAATGCCTGGCAATCAACGCTTTGTTTAGATTGTGAAATAAGGATTCAAAGCAGAAAAAATAACCGTAGGAACAGAAGAAGGCTATTCAGCTGCTTCAGCCTGTTCTGCCATTTAATTAGATCATGACTGATGTCTACCTCAATTTCATTTATCCATATTTGCTCTCTATCCTTCAATACCCACATGCAAAAGCCTTATCTCAAAGGTCTACAAATCTCTGTGAAAACAGAAACTAATCAATGTCTAATTATCACACACTCAGAATGTGCCAGTATCTGCAATCACAGCGTAATGTGTGCAATTTTTGTCATAGATACTTATTGAAACATTTCATGTAATTCCCATAGCATTTGGCTAACCATTCAGTAATCACCAGATTGTTCTGTGTTCTCTTCTGTATAATTGGAATTGATATATAATTAATAGTTAGATACTATTCTCATAACCATGGAGATCCTAAAATATTTTTCACACTAAATAATTCACTTTCAAAACTTCCTTAGAGCATGAAGTGTAGCCCATCTGGCCCGGAGGTTGGGGGTTTTCATCATTCATATTTCTGTTTGACACATGGCAGCAAACAGTGAGAATTAAGAGTGGGAAGGAGTCCTTCCTGAATGTTAACATTTTGAAGGTAATACAAAGATGATGTCATTTTACTTCAATCCTTTGGACAGACCAAGACCACAGGTAGAATTATTAAATGGAACAGCGTGAAGAGGCAATGTTTAGGAGGGTCCGTGACTGCAAATTTGACTAACTGTGAAGAATAGGCTAATAAATAACTACTGTACCAAACTGCATGATATTTTACATCGGCCATACATTTCAAAAAGGGTTGCTTAGGTTTGTTTACATAAGAAAGGCAAATTTAATTGTTAAGGAATTGATTGCTTCGAAATTCTGCATCTGTGTATGTGTGAGAGCGTGTGCCGGGGATGTGGGTGTGGGTCTGGACTGGGAGTGTGGATCTGTGCTGTGACTGTGTGTGGGTCTGTGCTAGGACTGTGTATGGGCCTGAGCCGGGAGTGAGTGCGGGCCTGAGCCGGGAGTGAGTGCGGGCCTGAGCTGGTAGTGCTGACTGGGTTGGGATGTGTTTGTGTTGAGAAATGTGTATTTGTGTATTTACTGCACTTGTGTTTGCAAATTAGAACATCTATTCATTCGGGTTCTGTCTTGATTGGTATTTCTTTCCTTCCCCTTTTCGATTATATTCAGACTCAATCTTGCTACACTTGTCAGTTTTTATTTGCTCATGCTCACCTACATATGATGTTCTTTCTCATTTTAGATTCTGTCAAGAAAGGTGATGGCCGAATCCTTGTTCATTGCCAAGCTGGGATTTCGCGATCCGCCACCATCTGCCTCGCTTATTTAATGATGACTAAACGTGTGCGACTTGAGGAGGCCTTTGAGTTTGTCAAGCAGAAACGGAGCATAATCTCGCCCAACTTCAGCTTCATGGGACAGCTGCTGCAGTTTGAAACTCAGATCCTGGCTCCCTCACGTTCTGTCAAAGCATCCAGTCCTTCAGCAGCCCTCAGGGAGCAGAGCAAATCTTCATCAACTCCAACATCTCAGTTTGTATTCAGCTTCCCTGTCTCCGTCAGTGTTCATTCAACTCCAAGCGGTCTCAGTTACTTACCCAAACCCATCACAACGTCACCAACTTACTAATGGATGAGTTTACAAACTCAACCAAACATCCATAACTTATTGCTAATAGAACATTGAGTCAAGTAGTTTGTTAAACAGTCTGAACCTCTTATTTTAAAGGGGCAGAAGAAGGTTAGCATTCAGTTTTGACAACAATTCACTTGTAAAATTATTGGCTACATTTACACCTCACTTCCTAAATGTCAAGACTAGAAACCTTCTTTCGCAATAAGTCACTTTTGAATAAACATTAAATTTTCTTTGACTCACTAATTCCTCAGTACTGATATTGCAACTACTGATTAATGCAAGCTTCCTTCTCTGTTGAGCAAGGTGCCAGTGTGGGACTCCCATTTTAACCCGCTGATAGGCACCAAGTTAACATCTCTGCACCTGTGTGTGAATTATACATGACTTTCTCTCCATAAATGTCAGAATCTAAAATGGACAAAACAAATACAAGGGTCACACTGAAAGTTGTAAAATTGTAAAGCAAGACCTACTGCACACCACTCAGTCACATGCCAAGCAGGAAGCAACACTGGGTGGGACATTCAAGAAACCTTTTTCCCATTGCGTCTTTCAGTTGCTTTATTTAAGGGTCAGTTTGGGACTTGGCTGTGATGATCTGCTCTGTTTGTGGAAAAATAAATCCCCACAATCTATATCAAACCATGGAACTACTTTCTCCCACTATGAGACACAACAGCCCTACACATGCTGGAAAACCTCAAAGTGTAGGAACAACCTGGATTTCCCACTTACACAGAAAATAAATCCTCATCCACAAGCTAGGTTAGCTTTGTCTATCAGCGTGGACAAGTCATTTAGGAACCTGAGACATTTCACAAAGGGACTAACAGTACTGTTGTACCTGCCAGAGTCCCAAGTAATCCTGTACTCTTCCTAGGAGCCAGACTGCACCCTGCTCATTTTATTGGTTCTTGTTTTCAAAATACCAGCAGATAATCACGATTCAGATGAAAGATGAAATCGAACTAGCTGAGAGGCACTGCCCAACAGGCAGTTTACTTCTGACATTTGACATTACGCAATCAGTAAAAGGAAGGGAAAGGTGCCCAGGGTCAGCACAGAAGCATGTCAAAGAAACATTGTACCTTTAAAAAATGCAAAAATAACATAGAATTGAAAGCACAATTTAAAAGAAAAATGATGTGATTCAAGAAAAAGCCTGGAACCTGTTAATTCACAAAGACGACAGACTGGACAGTGAATGACCAACTATCAATCTCCAACACTGTGCTTGGCTATTACTGTTTCATTCTATACTGGCCACAAATCTTTTCTAAGCTGTAATTTGCTTTCAATTGAATTCAATACTGACTGAAACTCGCCCTGGACCATTTTGGAAAATACTTCTGGTTGGCTGGTTTGAAGATCAGAAATGAATCTAATCCATCTTCACTAAATAATACTTTGTAAAGTCTTTGATGCTTAATGGTTTTATCTCAAAAAGCACCTTTTCAAAGCCAGTTATTACTCTAGTTCCTACGTAGGACAGATTGGCTTGTACAGGACCCTTTAAAAGCACAGCCTTACTCTTAAAGTTTTATTTAAATCATCGAACAGAGTGCTGCGGTTATTTTTTGTGTGTGTGCAATATTTGGCGACTGGCCAGGCGTTCTGGAGTTTAAGGCTCCCTGGCTAAGCGCATGCTCGGAAAATTAATCGTGTACCTCAGGTTCATACATTTTCAGTATTTTTTCTACTTCTCAATATTCCGTCCCAGATTTTGATAGGAAAGTAACAGTGAATTTAATGTGTTAGTCGCGTGGTGAGCAAGAGACACACTATAAGTTGTGAATCACCACACAAGTTGCTGGATGTTTTGTGCCATTGTGTCTAAAAACTGAAACCTCATCCACAATCTTATCGTGAGTTTAAGGAATTTGTTGCATTCGTGCCGTAAATAAGAATTAAACTCTCAGTGCAGAAAGCGAGGAGTGCTGTTAACGCAGTATAAAGGTACAGTTAATAATTTATTATCCCAATAGGCCACTCATCCTTGAAAGGCCTGTAAGGGAATAATTGAAAGTAAGGAATCTCACTCTCACTGGTAATAAGCTGTTTCAATAGAATTTTTGATTTTCTTTTCATCCTTAATGCTTATTTCAGTCTCTTGTTTTTCTCTCTCAATCCAATCATATTTTCCCTCTCTTTATTTCTCTTTTTCTGCATTTAGTTTGACTTCAACATATCTGATTCTCTGCTGCCATTTGCTCCTTTATTCTCTACCCTTAGGTGTTATCTCATAGTTCACCACAGCCTCAGAAACCTGTCTGACCATTATTAGTCCACTTCCAAGATGCTCCACTCCAGCAAATTCTGGGCCGATGAGAATAATTTCTCAATCAGAGCTTACGAACCATTGGTGAGATGATTTAGAAACTTGATCATTGAGAACCCAGGACTAAAGGCGGATCAAGACACAGAATCAATGTTCAACCACTTTAGCCCTGTCTGCAACCTACACTCCCACCTAGCAATGTTTCACACTGATTCAGAGTGTCAGAAAAATATCCCTAACACAATATACCTGAGTGAATGTTTTGATATTTGCACATGTTTTATCCTAACTATTTATGAATAAGGAGCAGTAAATGTTAGTTCAGAAATTGCTTGAGAAAAATGTACACCAAGAATGTGTTGTGGTATTTTATACTCTATATATATTTCGTTTCATTTGTCACTCTGAATGTCAGAACCTCATTCTGATTTATTTATTGCCCATGTTTGTAAAATTTAAGAAATAAAATTAGACCTTTCCAACTTTAATTGGTTGCCATTTGTTGGTACTTTTATTTCAATAACTATTTTCCAATAACACTCTCAATTAAAATGGGCGATTGTGACATGCTGCATTCTTCATTTGGTGTAAAAGTTACAGGAAGAGTCACTATAGTCTGAGTAGATCAGTGCAGATAGGTGGGAGCAGACGTGATGGACTGAAGGGCCTGTTCTGTGCAGTATGGCCTGTTCTGTGCAGTATGGCCATAGGGCTGCTCTCTCAATACAGACAAGGAGAGATGACTGGTGGTGGTTTAACCCAAGGGTCACGACACATCAGACAAGGGGCAAGGTTGGGAGGACTCTAATGGTGACTTTAGCCAATACGGAAATTGAACCCATGCTGTTGGCATCACTCTGCATCGCAAACTAGGTGTCCAACCAACTGAGCTAACCAAATCCTTACATTTAATGTCCATGGACCTAGAATGCAGTTTTCGTTGCTCACAGTGGCATAGCTATGACTTGCAGTTATATAGAGCTTTTCACGACATCTGGAAGTCTCAAAGCACCCAACATTCAACAAAGTACTTTGCAAGTGTGGTCACTGTTGTAATATAGCAAATGCCAGTTTGTGGTTTGGGGTAGTGGTAACGTAATTCAGAGGTTCAGGCTAATGATCTGAGGACAGGGGTTTGAATTCCACCGTGAGGGCTGGCGAAATTTAAATTCGTTTGGAAATTGAAAGCTCGCCTCAGTGACCATGCAACTATGATCAATTATTGTAAAAAAAAACTTCTGTTCACTGATGTCCTTTAAGGAGGAAAATCAGCCATTCATACCTAGTGTCCAAACTCACAGTAGTGTGGTTGACTCTTGACTGCCCTCTGAATTGGCTCAGCAAACTGCTCAGCTCAAGGGCGATTAACGATGGGTTAAAAATGCTGGGTGGAATCTCACCCTCCAGAAAAGCAGCAACTGAACCCTGGCTGCTGGTGCACAGTTCATCACATACCAGTCATCCAGCCAACTGAGCTTACCAACTCCCAAAGTATTTTCAAATCAACCTGTTCAGATGTAGCACAGAGCCTAACAGCAACATGTCCACCCAGATAAATGATCACTGCAGACAACCAGGATAAGCTGCCTGGCTTAGTGACTGTGCTAAAAGGCAAGTCAATGCAGAAAGTACTCTGAGCCTGTTAGCACAGGCTGAGGAGGCCAGAGGCTGTCCAGGTCAGTACAGTACAATTGTTTCAATCTTGTAAAGACTCTTATCTCGGTTTCTCAAAAGAAATCTAATTTATGTATTCAACGTAATCTCAGTCTTCCAAAAACAAATTGAATGTCCCTATTTCTAATAAAATTGCTTCATGTTGCAGAGTTTGTCCTTTTGCTAAAGAGTTTTCTAATAGTTGTGGACTCAAATTGATGAGAACTCATTATATACCATTTGCTTAGTTACCTTCCTGGATGAAGGAGTCTGTTTTTTTTACTTCTTTCATGGTATATGGGTGTTGCTATCTAGGCCAGTATTAATTGCCCATCCCTAATTGTCCAGAGGGCAGTTAGGAGTCAACCACATGGATCTGGAGTTACATGAAAGCCTGACCAAGTAAGGATGGCAGCTTCCTCCCCTAAAATACATTAGTGGACCAGATTTCTATTAAATTCAAATTCCACCATCTGCCATGGCAGGATTCGAATACAGGTCCCCAGAACATTACCTGGGTCTCCAGATTAACAGTCCAACAATAATACCACTAGGCTGTCGCCTCCCCTGTTAGTAAGAGTCAATGAGGAAAAATGATTTTAAAATGGTTGTAAAAATTGTAAAAATGATTGTAAAAATGGGGGATTATCCCTCCTCATTTCTCTGCAGCATATGGTGTGATTGAAAATGCCATCCGCTTCAAAGTGTCTCCTCCATAATTCAGCACCTTGGTACTGCCTTATATAAATTTCAATCCCTAGAACAGATGAAAGCTCCTCTAACGGTTCCTCTTTTTCTCCTTATTCTCCCCTACATACACATTGACACTTCCTGGGCTCCATAAGAATGTAGTCTTTATAACCCCCAACAACCCCATCCCATCCTAAACTTCATGCAGTGGCTTTGTGGCATTATCCAAAGACAAAAACTAAGCCTCTTCATGTGAAACAAGAACAGATAGTGCTGGAGAAACTCAGCAGGTCTGGCAGCATCTGTGGAGAGAGGAACAGAGCTCCAGTGACCCTTCCTCTTTCTGTCTCCACGGTTGCTGCCAGATCTGCTGAGTTTCTCCAGCAATTTCTGTTTTAGTTTCAGATTTCGAGCATCTGCAGTTGTTTTATTCAAACCTCTACATGTGCACTGTTCATACCCTGCTCAAACTCTCCACCAACTCTCCACCATTTCCCATTCCCCCACGACTGTCTCCATTGTCAGACTTCTTTCCTGATACCAAATCTCAGATGAGTAACAGCCACCTTCAGCTCAACGTCAAAGTTAAATCCATTGTCTTTGGCTCCTTCATAGACTCTGTTTCCTTGCCTCTGGCTGCAATCAATCCTGGACAATGTTGCAACAAGGAGGGACTACTCACAGTCTGTGTCCTACTCACAGTGGCACAGAGATTACAGGCAATATCTCATGCATTGAAAGACTGCTTACTACTCACTCCAACCTTTGCAACCCCAGGAAACAAGGCTGCTGATGTCCCTATTCACCTCAATTACTTTATCACTTCATTCCCAACCTCCACCATCTGTAAACTCCAGCTTGTTGTACCCCACACCTATAAAGACCATCAACTTTGAAGGAGGAGAAGACGACCTAAGGGTTAAACCCATCAATAATTGCCTAGTGTTGTAGAACAGAGACACCTAGGGGTTCAGGTATATAATGGTTTGAAGTTTGTGTCACATATAGACTATGTGGTTAAGAAGGTGTTAAGCACACTTTCCTTCATTGCTCCGACCTTTGAGTATAGGAGTTGGGACGTCACCTTCAGGTTGTACAGGACGTGGGTGAGGCCTCTTCTGGAGTACTGTGTCCAGTTCTGGTTGCCCTGCTATAGGAAGGATATTATTAAGCTGGAGAGGGTTCAGAAGAAACTTACCAGGATGTTGCTGGGGATGGAAGGTTTGAGTTATAAGGAGACGCTGGATAGGCTGGGACTTTTTTCACTGGAGCGTAGAAGTGACCTTTTAGAGGTTTACAAAATCATGAGGGGCATAGATAAAGTGAATGTCAGGTGTCTTTTCTCTAACGTGGGAGATTTCAAAGTGAGAGGAGAAAGATTTAGAAAAGACATGAGGGGCAATTTTTTCTGCGCAGAGAGGTTGGTGGGTGGAATGAACTTTGAGGAAGAGGTGGGTGCGGGTACAGTTACAATATTTAAAAGACGTTTAGATAAGTACTTGAATAAGAGGGATATGGATCAAGTACAGGCAGGTGGGTCTAGTTTAGTTTGGGATTATAGTTGACATGGACTGGTCAGACGGAAGGGTCTGTTTCGGTGCTGTATGACTCTATGAGTCTTCTACTTGGTAGAAACTCTATAGAGGATTTTAAGTTTAAGCCCTTGCTGGTGTACCAGAGATGCCAACAATTTTGAGAAGCTACTTCAGAGAACATCTGCTAGTTATCTGGCATTCAAAAAGAAAGCCTGAATTACAGGGTTACTCCTTCCAAGAATGGTTTTCCCTCTATGTCATTCCTGCTTGAAAAAGAATATTGTACCAGGGAAGACATTGACTTTAGGGTATTGTTTCTGCTTGATAATGCCCCAAAGTCCACCAATTTTGAATACTAATTGGAAAATGTTAAATTGGTTTCTCTGCCACCCACTGCTACAGCCCATGGAGCAGGGGTACCAGCAACATTCAAGGCTAATTACTTTCAACGTACCTTTCTGCCAGCTCAATGGAAGGTGGTGAGGATAAGCTGACAATCAGGGAATGTTGGCAAAGCTGTTAAGAGTGTTGACAATATTGCAAATTCATGGGAAAAAAGTTTAATTGTTGTGTACGAACAGTATGGGTCAAAAAGCATGGCCCAAGTGTACCTATGGCATTGAAGAAGAAAATCCCATTACTGGAACACCATCCACGTGAGTATCATGAACAACTGTCAAGAACTTTCAAACTGATTGAAAAACTAACGGACATCTTCACCAATCATGAACTGAACAGAGCAATCATTTTGATATATTTATTTATTGTCACATGTATTTTGTTACAAAATAAAGTGAAAAGTGTTGCATAGTGTCCTCAACTGTCTGGTGCCATCTTAAAACACAGAAAAATAAACCAAAACATAGAATATGAAGGCAGAAAAATAAAGTGATAAAGAAAATGTGTCCAACTTTACAGTCCTTCTTGTTGAGTGCTTTGTTGTGGGCCATGGGCCTGGTGGATGGCACACAACCGCTGGAACAAAAGTCACCCAATCTTTGGTGCCATCTCGCCACTATGAGTACTCGCTGTATCTCGCCAATGCAGACAGCACCATTGCTGCAGAGTACTGCACCGGCCCAGACCCAACTCCGTTGCTGCCATGTCCCACTCTTTGGACTCACCTCACCAAAGCAGCCACTGCTGATGCCACCACTGATGCCACCAGCTCTCGTACTGGGCCCAAACTTGCCTCCACCATCAGTTGGCGCTGGGACTGCCTCATCTATGCAGAAGCCACCGGGAGCCCAAAGTTGCCAACGGCATTGCCGTGACTGAGCTACACAACAAAAGACAAGTAAAATAAAAGGGAAGAAGAAAGAATGAGAAAAGAGAGACAATAAAGAAAAGAAATGAAAGGAAAAGCGGACAGAGCAGACGAGCACAGGGCTCATAAGCCCTACTCCAGCCTCAAGGAGATGCACCAGCAGAATTTAAAATGGATCTGACCAATAATCTTTGGACACATTTTTCAAGGACATTGTCAATCCTGCTCCGTCATCCCAACAACTCCACCAGGACCTGGCTGTTCCACCTGCATGTTCTCCAATTCAAAACA